GACACTTACTAAACCCTAATACAATATGGTAATATCGTTAATACCCCCCCTCAAGTTGGAGCATGAAGATTCCGAATGCGCAATTTGGGAATGAAAAAATCAAACTGAGACTTGCCCAATCCCTTGGTAAATATATCTGCAACTTGGACATGTGTGGAAACATAACTAGGAAGAATAGCACCCTTCAAAACTTCATCCCGAATGAAGTGACAATCAACCTCAATGTATTTCGTACGCTCATGAAAAACAGGATTAGCGGCGATGTGAAGAGCGGCCTGACTATCGCAAAACAGAGAAGCAGGCTGAGGATGTGAAACACCGAGAGAATGTAACAGTCCCTTAAGCCATTTTAACTCACATACGATTGCAGCCATAGCACGATACTCAGCTTCAACAGACGATCGAGCAACTGTCTGCTGCTTCTTAGTCTTCTAAGAGATAGGAGAAGATCCCAACTGAACAAACCAGCCAGTTAGAGAATGCCGAGTCAGAGGACAACTAGCCCAATCAGAGTCGCACCAACCAGAGAGCTGCAATCAGCGCGAAGAAGAATACCCTGACCAGGAGAACCCTTGAGATAGTGAACAACACGTAAAGCCGCCTCCCAATGAGCCTGCATGGGTTTCTGCATATATTGAGCCAGAGAATGAACAACATATGACAACTCGGGACGAGAAACTGCCAGATAAATCAAACGGCCGACGAAACGGCGATAGCGTTCAGGATCAGAGAGGGGCTCGGAAGTGACAAGAGAAAGCTAGTGATGGGGCTCCAAAGGAAAACTAGATGGCTTAGCAGCCAATAGACCAGTCTCAGAAATGATATCCAGGGCATATTTGCGTTAGCAAAGAAAAATGCCAGTCGAGTTACGAGCAACTTCGATCCCTAAAAAATACTTCAAAATACCCAGATCCTTCATATGAAAACAGTGACTCAAATAATCTTTGAAAATCTGAATGGCATTATGATCATTGCCCGAAATGATAAGATCGTCAACATAAATCAACACATTGAGCTGCAAATGATCACGATGTAAGGTAAAAAGCGAGTAATCAGAGTAAGACTGCTTAAACCCATACCGACGCAAAGCCATAGCCAACTTGGCAAACCAACAACGAAAAGCCTGACGAAGTCCATAAAGAGACCGCCGAAGTCGACAAATAGTACCCGGACGAGACGAAGAGAATCCGGGAGGCAACTTTATATAGACTTCTTCGTCAAGATCACCATGCAAAAAGGCATTGTGAACATCCATCAGATGAAGTTCCCAGCCTTTAGTAGCAGCAACAGTGAGCAAAGTGCGGACAGTAACCAGTTTGGCAATAGGAGCGAACGTCTCAGTATAATCAAGACCCTCAATCTGGTTATTACCCAAAATGACAAGACGTGCTTTAAATCGCTCAACTAAACCATCAGACCGATGCTTAATTTTAAACACCCATTTGCAGCCTATAGCCCGCTTGCCAGGAGGAAGAGACTAAAGCGTCTAGGTGTCGTTTTGTTATAGAGCTTGAATCTCTTATTGCATGGCAGCACACCACCTATCATCTTTTACAGCCTCCAAGAAAGTGCGAGGTTCAGTATCTGCAGTAAGACTGGCCAAAAACGCCCGATGTGGAGCAGAAAAAGAATCCCAAGATACATAATGATTCAATGGATAGGACGTACCTGAAGAGACTGACGAAGTAGATGAGCTGAGAGAAGGATCTGAAGAAGTGATGGTATGGGACAGAAAATCAGTTAAACGAGTGGAGCGAAACTTGGCCCGATGCCCACGACCCAGAAGTTCTTCCTGTTGTGGAGGAGGGGACTGCCCCCCCTGACATGAAGAAGGATCAACTGAAGGACTAGAGGGATAAGCTAATTCTGAAGCAGCAGTCGAAGAACTAGGAATAGCAGCGGAAGGTAAAGAGACCACCCTTGACTCAAACTCATCGTCTTCCAAAACAATAGGAGGAACGGAAGAAGAAGGAACAACGGGAGAAGGGGAAGACTGTTAGAGAAATTCAGACTCAGAGAAAATTACATCGCGGGAAACAAAAATGGAACCAGAATCTAAATCATAGAGCCTCCAACCCTTCTTACCAAAAGGATACCCCAAAAAAACACACTTGCAACTACGACTAGAAAACTTATCACCCTTGCGGTCCTGGTTATGCGCATAGCACAAACAACCAAATACACGCAAATGAGACACAGAAGGGGGTTTGCCATAAAGAATTTCACAAGGGGTTTTCCCATTCAAAATACGGGATGGGATACGATTAATCAAATATCCAGCTATCAAAACACACTCCTCCCAAAACTTAATAGGTAAGCTGGCTTGGAACCGCAAAGCACGAGCAACATTGAGAATTTGTCGGTGCTTGCGTTCGACACGACCATTTTGTTGAGGAGTACCAACACAAGAGGTTTCATGAATAATGCCATGTTGGCAGAAATAATCAGTCAAGCATATAAACTCGGTACCATTATTGCTACTGACGATTTTCACAAGTTTGCTAAAGTGACGTTCAACCATGGCGAATAATTGGAATAAAGTAGAGGAAACCTCTTTCTTATCATTCAACAAATAAATCCAAGTAGCACGAGAATAATCATCAACAATAGTCAAAAAATAACGTGCTCCAGAAAAACTAGGCACCCGATACGGGCCCCCACAAATCATAATGTATCAAATGGAAAATATCAGAACTAGTCGTAGAACTAAGAGGAAAGCTAGTCCTAGACTGTTTAGCACAAAAACAGACATCACAAGCCTTATTACTACCCACTTTTGGACCAACAAATGAAAAGGATTCTAAGACCTGAGGGGAAGGATGTCCGAGGCGTTGGTGCCACAGATCAAAAGAAGAGACACCAGCAGGTGTAACTTGAGCAACAATCTCTACGGCCCGGAAGAAGTACAACCCCTCTCGTTGCTCACCCGCTCCAATCAACATCCTCAAAGCGAGGTCCTGTATAATACAAGAATTACGAGTGAAATGAGCAACATATCCTGAATCCCGTAACAGCTGTGAAACAGAAATCAAATGACACAATAAATTCGGAACATAAAGCATATTAAGCAGCGTGATAGTGCTGCTGAGAATAACAGTGCCAGCCTGAGTGGCCCAAGTATGTTGACCATTAGGCAATTGGACCGAGATAGCAGGAATAGCACCAACATCCGTAAAAAAATCCAAACGGCCAGTCATATGTCTAGTTGCACCGGAATCATACATCCACAATGTAGACCAAGACATACCAGAAAGCTTGTCTGTCGAACCAGGCTTAGACGATTGCAAAAGTTGGAGTAAAGTCTGCCACTGATCAATGTTCAAACCGGTGACAGCATTTGCAGAGGCCGAAACACCAGAACCCGGAGCAATCTGATTATTGTTGACAGCGGAAGCAAGACCAGACATATAACCACTCCGCACAAAAGAAGCAGTGCCAACACCCGAAGAAGAACGGCCACGCCCGCGCCTAGCAGACCCACGCGACCAGCCATCCAGGTAACCCACAAGTTGAAAACATGTGGAAACATCATGGTGTGGCTTATTACAGTGGGTGCAAAACAAGGGTTTCGCACGAGCAGACCCACGGCCGCCGGAAACCACATCAGCAGCCGCCGCAAAAACAGATGAATCCCCGGATTGAGAAGGTGTTGCAGAAGTTGTGATGCCGGAGGAAGAACCAGGGACGCCGGAGGAAGGCTGAACCGCGAAGCTCATGACGTCGGTTGTGGTCTCAGCCGACTGAGTAATCTGCCGCATTTTTTCTTCACGAACCATTGCCGCATAAACCTTATTGAGGCGGGGCAAAGGATCTTGCACCAGGATGTTGGAGCGAGCTGCACCATAGACGGAATCGTCCAAACCGAGAAGGAATTGATGAATTTTCTCGGTTTCAAGACGTTGAGCAGCAACGACGGGAAGATTACAGGTACACTTGCCGCACGAACAAGCCGGAAATTGATCGTACGTGGCCAAAGCTTCCCATATCTTCTTCAGATGGCCATAATAAGTGGCCATGGACAGACCTCTCTGTTTGCACGCCATCAAATCCGCCTTCAACTGTTGAATCTTCGGACCATTCACCTCGGAGAGACGTTCTTTGATGTCGGCCCACAAATCAGCAGCCACCTCCATGTGAGTGAGAGTCGAACGAAAAGACGGTTCGACAAAATTCATAATCCAGGAAACAATCAAAGAATTGATTGTCCACCAATCCTCAAACTCTGGGGATGCCGGCGCCAGTTCAGGAATGGAGCCATCCACAAAGCCGTATTTTTTTCTGGCCCATAAGGCAGTCTTGACGGCGCTGCACCATTTATCATAATTGTGCTCGCCTTGAAGATGAACTTGAGTGATGGATTGACCCGGCTGATCACTGCCGGAAATATCATAAGGGGAGATTGTTCGACGACGAGAGAAATCGTCGTTATGTGGGCGATCACGGCCTTCCTCATCCGTCAACAGAGAAACGGACTTGCTGGACTGAGAAGGACCAGATGGATTCGTCACGTGGATCACAACAGGAAGAAAAAATTACCAGCGATTGATACCATAAAGTAAATCAAAGGCGGCGGCCGAAGAAAGAAGACTGAATTGACTTTCTTGCCTTTTCTCATTGAGTTAGGGTTTCATATATACAGTTACCGCCGATAAAAGAATCACCGTAAATACAGTAAATACAAGATATTTACTAAACCCTAATACAATATGGTAATATCGTTAATAATATATATATATATATATATATCAATTTTTAGTCATGGAAAGACTTTTTGGATATTTTTACCTATCAGTCTAGGGATTTTTTTTGATATTTGTTTAAACATAAGGGTGTTTTAGATAATCAATTAAGGAAAGTGATACTTTTAGTGAAATAATATAGTGAGAAAATATAGTGACAGATATGTACTCTTATTTTGTTGTCATTTTGACGTTGAAATTTTTTCTTTTCTCCTAAACTTACCCGTTTATCCTTAATTACTAGATACATATCAGTCACTGTATATTTTCACTTTTTTTTTTTCACTATTTGTATTATTGATCATCAATTAAATCTCGGCTGTTTTCGGATTGGCGGACGTCTCTGGGAAACGGATTTGACGAACCGGAAGAGCAAACCGGTGGGGTTACGTTTAAATACTAATAAATCGAAAACCGATAATCCACACGTCTCCACCCGTCCACCGTCAGCCTCCTTTTCCCACTTCCAGAATTTTCCTCATCGTCAGTCCTTTTCATCATCGGGAAATCCTTCCCGATTCCAAATTCCGGCAATTACCAAAAAAACCATCTTCTTCGCATCTTCAATCTCTAATGTCTGCTACTACTAATTTCTCACAAAACCTCAATCTCTGGGGGGTTCTCTCTGTATCAAAACGCATAATCAATGCTCACTCGCGCCATTTCTTAGCTCTTTCCGTTGTGTTTCTTATCCCCCTTTCTTTCTCCTTGATCGTTTACCCTACCCTTCAAAATACTTTCTTTGAATCCAATTCGATCGTTTCGAAACCATCCCTTTTCATCTCCTTATCCTACACTGACGCCCAACCCACCAAAACCCAATTCCTTCTTCCTCTGTTTTACGCCTTGTTTGTCCTTCTCCTAGCCCTTTTCGCTGTGGCAACAATCACCTACAGCACTTTTCATGGATTTTATGGCCGACCCGTTAAGCTTGTTTCTTCTTTCAAGTCAACCCTTTACTCGTTTTTACCCCTTTTATCCACTTTTATTGTCTCCCAAATTCTCTTGGCTAGTTTCGGTGGATTATTAGCTTTTGTGTTGGCTTTGATTTATCGAAGCTTGGGTCTTGATTTAAGTTCAGGGTCGAAATATTCTGTGGGATTTTTATTCTTGGCAGGAATAATTGTGGGATTGTTTGTGATTACCATGCAATTGAGTTGGACTTTAGGGTTTGTGGTAGCGGTTGTGGAGTCAAAGTGGGGATATGAACCGTTGAGGAGGAGTTCTTATTTGTTGAGGGGAATGAATGGGGTGGCATTGTCTATGCTTCTCCTTTACGGGTCTGCGATTGGGTTGTTAGCTTGGGGGTGTTCCACTTCTGTGGCTAATGCTGGGCACGCCAGTGGATTGATGAGTTGGGCATTTGTGTTGCAGACTGTTGTTAGCTCCGGTTTTATCACCCTGCTAATGCTTCATAACGTGGCTGCAAATGTGGTGTTGTATATGTATTGCAAGGCATTGCATGGTGAGTTGGCATTTGAGATTGCTGAGGAGTTTGCTTGCGAGTATGTCAGCTTGCCTTTTGATTATGAAAAGGTTCCTCATGTTGTTTCCATTGTTCAAGTGTAATCTGGTTAGGTACTAGCGATCTTGTTATGTGCAACATCACTTGGTTCTTAGTTTCATTTGGCCCTGTGTCAGCTTATGAATATGTAGGTTTATGATCTGTATCAAACTTATGAGAAATATGAACTGGAGACACCTGTAAATATGATGATGTTTAGACATTTTTTCTTAGCATATGTTTAGTTTCTTACAGTAGTAGATATTACTCCTTCCTTTTTATACTGATTTATTTGTTGAAACTAAGTGCATATGATGTTGTTATGACATTTTTTTATAGGCAATGTTTAGCTTCAACACTTTACACACTGATACACATTCTATCTGTTACACTGATTTTCTAGGAGTTGAATCGAGTGTAGCACCAATACTTTTTGCTCTAAACTATAATCTGTAATGCTAGCCTTTACTAGTTCTAAGCATGTCAGTCTATGAAATTCAGAACATAGCATTTTGTCCCCAAGTAGATCACTAGAAACCTGATCCTTTGGGGTGGGTATTAAACTGGCTGTTGAAATTATGTGATAGCATTTTGGCATTGTAATATGTTGTCATTGGATTGTATCTGAGAGTTTCATGTGGGAAGAGATCCTGTGTCGCATAATTTGTGTTGTGAACCTTTTGCTATCTCTTTCCTGTTGTCTATAAGAATTTGTTTGTTTTTAGTGTTCCTCACGAAGGGATGGTGGACAACGCACAGAGATCAGAGATCATTTCTTTTGTTCCTGTACGGGAAAAATTTTCTGGATACCTGAATAATCTACACTGTTGTAGCTTTGAGAGCTTAGTGCTTTTAAAGTGATTTTTATCTGATAGGAGTAAATGACAATCATCTTGAAGTTTAAATCATTGATTTGTTTTGAGTTAGTGTGACTGAGTTAGAAATTTTAAGAAGCTTTTATGTCTCATTGATGCAATTTGAATTCCTGTATTGCATTCTAGTGCCTTTGTCGTTTTCCTAAAACGAACTGTTGCAGTATTTATTTTTTGCAAGCTTCTTGAGTTGTCTGGTGGAAACGCATAGTGCTTGGTAGGTTGTTTGATGGAATATGTTATTCCCCTGATTTTGTGTTTGGTAATAACTCATATATTATATCTGTTTCCCCTCTAAAAACCTTCCTAGTTTCTTTCATTTTAGGATTTCCTATTGAGTCACACTGTGGAACTTGTGTAGAAATATAGTGAGTTCCGAGTCTTTGACTACACCTAACCTCAGTACAGTATGGAGGATACATATCTTGTACCAACTGTTTCTGTAGTGCATGGAAGAGGATTCCTGTTCCGCAGAGTAACCCTATTCACATTAGTTACTAGATATCTTTGCAACTCTTAACTCTTAAGCTGTGAATTTCAGCAGTTCGTTTTGACAGACTAACTAATACTCAATCCGGATTTGCATGCTTCTGATTTCAAGATGGCCCGTGTAACTCTGTTGTGCTTACCAAATTCCCTAGCAGTGGTTCTTTGTTGAATACCCTAGCCTTGTAAAATTCATTCCCCTTTCCGCTCTTTTTTTTTTTTTTTTTTTCCAGATAGTGTACAATTTTTGTGAGGGACTCTCGTTATAAGGAGATCATAAAAATATTTAGTTTGAGAACTACTATCTCGAGGCAGAAAACTACTCCATTAGTCCAAGTTTGTGATGGAAACAGAATGGAAAGGACAAATTAGATAGAATGACCAATACACATATCACACTGAAACGGAAGCCACCTGATCTGAAGTCTGAACTATTAACTTCACTAATTCTCTGCCTAAATTTGATATGGCTATCTCAACTCCGCTTTCATTTGAACATGAAAGTAAATAAATGCGTTAACCAAAAAAAAAAGTAAATAAATGCCTCATTACACTACAGTGCATGTATGCAGTGAGAATCTCTAGTGCCTAATTGATGTTCTGATACCTATCGCGCCTTTAGTCTTGTATTATCTTATTATCAGCAGCTTAGAACAGTTGCAGTGTTTTATTTAAGCCAAGCAGCACAGGCATGTTGAACTGTGGGGGGCAGACACGTATTCTTGCCAAGTCGGTTCTACACATTCTGAATATATAAATAGTACGCGCTAGCATAAGGAACGAGAATGTCTGTAAGAGCTAGAGCATCTCCTCATCCTAGATGTGGGGAGAAATCCACCAAGGTGTAGATAAATGGAACTGAGAAAGCAATAATTTCAAGCATTATAAATCCCGTATCCCTCTTGTCCGAAGCAATGGAATCCCCCTGAAATATCTACAATTAGGTCTGATTCCAATTCTTTCTTCTTCAGTCCCTGAGATAGAAAATGAAGCACTACACCCCACCAATAAATGTGTCACCTCCTCCCAAACTAGAAATGCCCTTTCAGACACCTTTACCTTTATCCAAATTCGTATATCTCTCAAAAGTACCGAGTTAAATCATAGTTAGGAGGCCTCAAAGTTTATCAATAATTTCCCTTCCCTCCTTCATGAGGAGCACAAATATACCTGTCTCAAATAAGGTAGCGGATGGCTATCTCCACTAACAGGTCAGGTAAAATGGCCGATCGATCCTTGGACCACAGAGAATTCCACGTGATGCTACCAACAACATGCAGCGCGAGAATGATGACTTTATCCTTTCCACCTTCTATCCATCTATTTTCCTTTCATTTTTTTCTTTCTTCGTGCGTGTGTGTGTGTGTGTGTGTTTCCTTTCTACTACATTACTCAAATCCTCCCCAGTTAAAAATTAGCAATTAGAAGCTTTACCGGCTGTAATCCAGATTTTCCGAAAAGTATTTGAGGCAAAGATGCTGAAATCATTTTGGTTCCCAGTGAGAGTGCTTTTCCATCGTAATCTAATAGTTCATTTTTCTAATTTTTAAACAAAGATATTTTTGTTAGAAACACATCAGTTTTCAACATTGGGATGAAGCATTTCAGTATGCTTATTACATCACTGTGATTTCTTGGGGCAGATATTCAGGTATTGTAGCTATTAAGCTAACACAGGAAGGCTACAGAAGCTGTTACCAGGAAGGACATAGAAAGTATGCACTAATCCTCAGAAATAAGAACCCCATGGTAAGGAAGATCACGACGGTAACAGTTCACGCTGCTTCATTCTATACAGATTGACAACCATGAAATGGAAAACTACAAATTTGAAAGAGTGACCAGCACATATCAGAAGCAGCAAAAGGTTATGGCACAGAATCGATTGATAGTGCTCGAGCTTGACTGTTAGGCCTCGCAAAATTTAGGAATGACCTTCAAGTCTAAAGATTCGACATTCACGCTTCACTATGGACAATTACTGGTAAGCTTTTTGAGTTCTTTGTCCATTCCTTTCCCATAATAACTCTGGGATCTACAAAAAAGAAAGCCAATTGATCTGGCTTGCGTTGGGGATCGCCATTCATCCGTTGACAAACCTTGGTGAACAAATAAAAAAATGTCGGGGTAATGATATGTTCCACCCCTACTTTCTTATGTCTGACCAAGATGACGACGAATACTTCAATCTGGCAAGCCTGTCATCAGGCTCAGACCCGAATAGAAGGCTACTCCAGTCGGATGATCTTTGCATAATCCTGTGAGGGACTCTGTCACTGTCTTCGCCGCCAGATGCGTCATATCCATCACTAGTAGACCGTGAAAAGGGGGGTTCCTTAGGAACAGTCATGTTTGCGGATGACAGGCCAACTAGGCGTCTTGCTTCTTCAGCTCCCAAAGGTGCCCTGAATGGATGGATATCAGGGGAATCTAAGCTACTTTCAGGAGAAGACGCAACAATTCCAGTAGAAGCGGAGATTGTTCGACTTGTCCGGAAGTCACTGGGTGCTTCAAGGTGAAGAGGAGCTAAACTGGTCGAGGTATCAGACATCATGTGCCTCATATTCATTCCCATAGGTCCACTTGAACCTCTTGTCAAAGTTTCAAGAGGAATTTCTGCAGGCAGGCGAACACGCTTACCAGGTCGCTTCCTACTGCTGCTGCTGTCTGGCCTCGAAACCATTCGGCGCCCGCTACTGCCAAAACTATTTTCCCTCTGAAAGGGATCCTGCATTTCCTGCCTTACTACAGGCTGCAGAATCTTTGACTTCTTTCTAGCCTCTGCAGCAACCTTTGCCACCTCCTCTGCATTTAGCCGAGCCAATGTCCATGGACTGATCTTTACGGGAACTGGGTTTTTCTTCTTTACTGGCTCCTCTACCATGCTCCTTTTTCCAAGTGAACTTACAGATCCAGTCTCAGGATTAACTACATCATACTGGAAAAGGGCATAGAGTTGCAACAGAAACAGTGACAAAAGAAAAACTGAATGAATGATCTTTCTGGCAGATATTGGAATCAAAATTTAAATCAGGCATTTACTAAACCACCGTAAACACAAACTCAGCAGTAACATCCAATTCATTGGAAATTGTGTTTTTGCACATGCATTGAACTGAGCCAAAACAGAAGGATGTTGAATTGGGGAAACATGCAATGTTGATTTCAGTGACAACTAAATAAATTATCCACTTGTCACCAGTCAAAAGAAGATGGAAGCACAATACAGATGGTATATATCATATCCTCGTGTAAAAGTAATAGAGTAAAATTATAATATCTTTCAAGTAATAACTGCAGAGGTGTTCAAAACTAGCCCAAAACATAGAGAATCCCTGGGATTAATATACTGATGAGTGACAAATCATACCTGATCTTCAACAAAAAGGCGTGGCGGCGTACACCATGCAGCACGGTGGAAATTGTTGAAGGAGCTTGCACTACTTAATCCAGTGATGGAACTAACAGGTGACATTTGGGGGCTTTGCTGAGTCCCATTTCCTTGTTGCTCTTGCTCCCTCAAAGCGATAATGTAATCATAGGTGCTGATGCCCTGTCACCAAAAAGAGAACATCAGTCAGCAGATTTACTCCCAGTGAGGTACATTATTTTTGTTTATTCGTTCTTTCTGCTAGACTCACGGAAAATCAGGGAAATCCAGAGTTATATACTTTGAAAGTAGATTTTTGTAGCAGAGAACAGTAACCTTGCCTTTTTTATAAGAAGAATGTGAAAGAAGAAAAGTTGAGCCAGCGGCAGGGTTGCAATCATTGCCAGTATTGTGCACACAGCCTGCAATAAGTAAGCTTAAATGCAGTCAGCAAAGATGTAGTAATTTTAAGGATTAATAAGCCAATAACAACTTAGCTTGGAAATGGACATCATAAATTGCTCACCACAACAATCACAAAAGGAACTACAGTGAAGCTGCTTCCTAGCTTGGTTGAAATGTCCACAGAGAATTTCTTTCGGTCAAGAAAGCAGCAAATGAGTACAAGGATTCCAGTTGACCATTGTAGTATAAGCTGCAATCTCAAGTCCAAAGGTCCACCAAAATATGATAAAATGAGTACATGGATTCCAGTCAACCATTATATAGACCTATCAATAGTTGATAAAATGAAAAATAACTGGAAATAAAATGGTTTGATGTTGTCATCATGTTACAATGACGATCCAGGATCCAGGTTTGAGTTGATCGTTTAACTTTATTATAGCAGATAACTTGTTCAATCCATCATTACTCATTAGAAGCTAAGCAAGTGATGGCATTAGCAGTTCTAAGACGATAACAACAACAGAATATGAGACGAAAAGCCATTAATCATGAAGGTAAATGGCACTTGAAATTGAAAACTCAGCATTTCCCTCAAATGTAACTAAGTTTGTGACAACAAAGAGTTTCGGAAAACTGGAAATACTATATTCAAAATAGAAGACATATTGACTCCATCAAGACTACTCTGATTTCTACAAGTACAAAGAATGGCGTTGAGCTTACCAGGAGGAGAGCTGAAACCATTAGTGTAAAGAACTTCCGATAGTTCCTTTTGCCAATACAGTTGTTAAGCCACTACAGAAACCAAGAAAAGGAGTCACGCAAAATGGTTTTATAAGTAAATAGTAATTAAACTTCGCACCAAAATTACCCTGCAATGATGATCAAAGCGATCAACGCATTTGTCACAAACTCTACAATGCTTGCTATACTTAAAAACCTGCAAGATTAATAATCATAATTCATTTTCTTAAGAGCAGAAATATCATGTTCATATAGAACCGTAATTGATCAAGAAGCAATAAGAAGGAAGACAAGGAAGCACCTCTACATCACACAAACTGCAGTAGAACATGCCATCTTCACTTAGTTGTTGCTCAGTGGATTCTTCATGTGAACATGAAGAGTTACGGAAAAAGGCACAAGGTAGTAAAGCCAATTGAGTCATGAGATTCCGTTTCTGAGGATGTGGTACACTTTTGGCCTCAGTCCCAGCAGTATGATCAGACTTTGCATCGACATCTTTAATGCTTCCATCATGACTAAACTTTTCATTGTTTGCAGCTTTTACATCTTGTATAGACGAAGTAGACTCTCCACCGAGCTTAGATTGCTTCTGCTGCAGTTTATTTTGGCTATGTTTGAAGTTAACATATTTCTTGGACTTAAAGACACCAGGATCAGCAGGATCTGAAGCCGCACACCATATATACAGGCTGAAGACAGAAATGATCTGGCAGAAAAAAGACTAGTCAGGTTTAATTGTGAAAGTGAAAACTATGACTGGTAACAGAGATAAGATAATGGTGTATGCACCCTTTACACATTTGCCAACAAATTCTACATGGCATTATTATGGTTTCAGGACAAGTTACAGATAAAAAATACAACCCAAATCCCTGTAACCAACATTCTAAAATGATACAAAAGATCGAGACAAAATAGTTCTTAAAGCTGAAAAAAACTACTCCCTCCGTCCTGAAATGCTTGTCCAGTTTCTATTTTCATTTTTAGTTCAAATTGTACTAGAAGTTAAACTCCAAGCTGGACAATAACTTTGGGACAGAGGGAGCACTTGTTAAGAGAATTGGCTTTTCTGCTCAAGAAAATGCAGGTGATCACAGAGATACAAACTCGGAATAGTGAAGAGACACTCGGAGTTTCACTAATGCATCTTATAATTGCCCATGAAAGCAAACATTTTTCCACTCCACATATTCACTTTTGCAATGCAATCTAAAGTGGTAACCAAGCAGAGTCATCCAGTCTCAAGGACAACTGAACAATCCCCAGGAAGGAGAAAGGACCAGAGAACAAATGTAAAAATGACATAGAAACTCTCCAACTAAGACAAAATGTTTGATCACTGAGCCTAGAAACTAATGCAACAAACTTAAAACAGAGTGAAGACCCGAGCCCCAAAACAGTGACAGCCCCTAGGGGCATTTTCCATGCGTAATAACTAAGTGCTTGAAAACGATGATTGAAATGTCTCATATGCAAAATTCATGATCTCAAAAAAATGGCACAGTTAAAAATTAGTAACCCATATCATAATTATGGAGAAAAGTAAAAAGCAAAGGGAAAGAGACTACAGATTGCGTGTAATGTAGGAAATATCAAGGAGCAGAAGGAAGCACAAGCTCAACCCACACTACAGATCTCAATTCTGAAAACTAAAGAAAGAGGAAAGGGAAGGCGAGGAAGAGAGAACTCACAAGAGGAGTATAAAGCCCCATAACAATGTACTGAACTTGCTGTCTGCCCACAAAAGGAGCGAAGAAGACATAGAAAGCAAACCCCAATGCCAGGAACACCGCAACAGCTACGACCTGAATAAGAAACCAATGAAAGTAAGTACCAAAATTAGCCAAAAATAGAAAAGAACCAACTCAGAGCAAGCTGGAGAAACATGTACTACACTATGTGAGAATGAGACCTGCAAGGGATGGTAAGGAAGCTGCCATCCATGCTTCCTCATTGAATTGATTTCCTGTTACAACTCTGAGAAGGGCTTGAAGGAAATGTTCAAAAAGCAAAGGAGGGGGACTGTGGTAAAAAGATGGAACCTTTTTCACCCTGAAATAGCTCTACTTCGACATTCTTTAATTTCAGTCACCCACATTTTCAGGGGAAAGATTGAGATCAGTAAAAGTTACACTGCACCAAGCACTATCCCTAAAATAAAGTACAAATCTTGCAAGCTGATTTTTCCATGAGAGGACTGGAAATCAATCAAAAAAAGGGAGACAAAAAAGAGCTCAAAAGGGAAAGAAAATGCACAAGGGATAATGGGTCGTGGGAAATAATAACCAAGGAGGCCAGGAGTGATGATGGGTAATAGCAAGGAAGCTTTGTCTGGTTCACTCAATCATAACTCTCCACCACATTGTCATCTTTGAAGCTGTAGAAAGCAAGACCCTTTGGCCTCTGCCATTAAAAAAAAATGTAGTAAAAAACTAAAAACTAATGGAATGAAAATTTCCCTCTTAAATTCCTGTCACTAATTGGATGAGAGAGAAAGGTATAATAAATAATATGAGGGACGATGGGGATTTGCGGAGTGATATTGTTCTTGGAATGGCATTTTGCTTTTGAAGGCTATAATCACAATTGCAACCACCCCTAAAAACCTTTTTTACTTTTTCCATGTTTCAAGTAGTACTACTTTTTATCTCGGTTCCAGAGTGGGCAAAATCAAAGGTGTCACAGGCAAAAATCAGGTATTACGACTAATACAAAACCAGCTCTCTGTAATCTGTACTCTGTAATCTGTAATCTGTACTCTGCAGTTATGAAATCTCTCATAGAAACCCAAAGTTAATGCCCTTTTCTTGATTTCCAGTAGATATTTGCAAAGTAACTGGAATGGAATGAATGGATAAAAGGGAATGGGTGCAGTAACCTGGAGATTGTAAAATACACTTAAAAATGCATAGGGATTCTATTCTGGGCATTGATTTTCTTATCTCTCCAAATCCTTTATCAAATATTGCCTAGTAACCAAACATTTTCAGAGAATGTTACATTCTATTAATATTTTCTTAAGTAACTAACTATCCAGACCTTTTTTTGGTGTTTACTGTATACTATAAATTTTTTCTCCCTTTCTTTGTGTTAACGAATCTGCAAAAACATGAGGTCCCAGGTCTACGAAGAAGCTTATTAAAAAAGTGAATGAGATTTGAGGCTAAGGTCAAAATAAATGGACTGACAGACAAACAAGAAGCAGATACCTAGAGTAGAGGATGAGGTTTGGACCTATTGCCAAAAGCATGTGCGTTTTAGAATTTACTGCACCTTTCGGAGTTAAGGTTAAGGTTTAGGTTTCTTATTACATTAATTATGACTAGTAAGGAAGAGAAAAACATACCGAGAGTTCCAATAATGGTGTTTTTTTTCCTCACTTAATACTTCCCTTTGACTAATGTGACATGTACCTTAATATGCTAACCCATCTGTCATTCTTTCTGAGACTTTTTAAAATTTTTTTCACTTTTCATCGTGTACTTTTAGGTATTTTTTTATTTAAAATGTAAAATTTTATATTGTAAATGTAAAAAGATATAATGAGATGGAACAGTTATTAATTAATAATTCTGAAAAACTAAAACAGAGAGACGGATTCAAATCCGAGTTAAATGAACAGTGTAAAAATTTTTCAATAAGTATTTCACTCGTTAATACATTTTCTATGTAGAAATTCGAATGTTATTCTTATCTCAAGGATATATGTAAAACCTAATAATATGGGTAAATTGCAAATTGTAAATTGTTGGGGGAGTAAATGAAGGACCCTACAACACCAAATGGTAGAAGAAAAAAACAGTTGAGCTTTTGTTAATGCCAAAAAAAAAAAAAACAAGGAGAGCGACAGAGCATTGAGAGAGGTGAAGGGGATGTGTTTTGTTATATATGTAGAGAGTGTGTCACATTCCAATGGAGGCGTCCAAGCTTTGGTCTCTGGGGTTTTCCCCAAATCGCCAGCGTTTTTTCTGTTTTTTAGCATTTTGGCATATTCTTCAGTATTCACTCTTCACTGTCAGCTGTCTCGGGCATCTCCATTTGCTAAAACGGCAAAACGGTAAGATTAATTGAATTATATATAATTTTTAAAAATCGATAGAGTATATTTTTAACCAATAAGAGAATAATATTCCATCCGTCTAAAAAAAAATAGTCTACATTGAGTTTTGAGTTTTGTATTATTTTTAATACTACAAATTTGCAAATTTAATGTAGACTATTATTTGAGGATGGAGTTAGTATTTACTTAATTCTCTTTGACCATTAGTCTTTTACTTTTATGTGTAGGTTCATGAAGTTGATCACAATAACAGAATCAACTCTCCATTAGTTAGTTATTGTCGGAAAAATGACGGGAAAATTTTTACAGTCCAGTCAACTCAACTCAATGATTTAATTAATTAGTTATAATAGTAATTTTCATCTGATGACTTGAATCAATAGCTAAACCATTAAGTGAGAACGAAATATTATAAATGTATTTCGCATTCCCCATTTTGGTGATATTGGATTAGTTAGTCTTAGAGAGAATCTTATCCATTGAGACCTCACTAGTGAAAAAATAATTAAAAAAAAATTGGAGGACTTAATCAGAAAACTTTTGAAGTTTACTGTGGGAAAAAAAAAATGGACTCGGCAGATTTCATGCAGTTGGTGAAAGTTTGAAACGATCACCTAAACCACATTACTAATTCAGAAAACTAAATGGTGTACAGAACTCGTACCAATTATTGGCAATGAGACTTTTGTGTCTTAGTTTTAGTACTACTTCAAAATTAAATCACGTTCTTTTATCCGAAAATAATTATTCTTTTTAATTATAATTCAACAAACATGATTATTATTTAGAAACGGAGAAAGTGTTAACAAATCACGAAAAAGTTATACCATTTTTTACGACATAAAATGTGTATCCTGCAAGAATAAATAAATGAGATGACAATTTTCCGATTGATATTGCATAGATTGAAATCAGGGAAGGAAGTCAACCAATCATTACGTCTGATTATTAATTTATAACTTAGCACTGCACCTAATCATGGAAATTCTTCCTAACATGTTCCAAAAAGAATGTCAACCTTTTATCCTCACCATTCTGGAATTTCAGATCTACTTTTTTGAGTTTTTCAAACCTTTATTGTCTTTTTCTTTAAGATTTTTGTTTACCCCTTAGTGAATTTTTCATTTTTTAAAAGCTTCGAGTTAATTACATGGTTCAAAAATTATTGCAAAACAAAAAGAAAAAAAAGAGAGGAGAGAAATGCAAATCTTTTAATTATTTGGTACAGATAATCAATATACAAGCTTCATATCCACCCAACTCAGTAAGGGAACCCACTGCTCCTTGACCCGTCTTCTTCATTGCAGCATTTTGTTTTTCCAATTTTCGCTACTCAAGACCGAGAGATATTATCATATAATCTCCAAACTGAACAACGTTATTCTTGAGTCATGCATGGAAATTGTTTCGATGATACTATTAAGAAAAAACATTGGCATGAAATGTAATGATTACGCATTTAACTTCGATACCAAGTTAAAATCTATGATAAATTTTGGCCACATTCTTTATAATATACTCGTTCCGGTCCTCGGTGCAAGGCATTTTGATTTTGTCCTACGTTTCACCTAGTACCCATTTTTAATTGACGGAAAAATTTTTAAAGTATATTTTCACATTCGTTGTATTCTCTTGATTATTATGAAATATTTTTAAGATTTTTTTGTTAATTAAAAATATGTAATTGGTTAAACCTAAGACAAATCAAAATGGCTTATATTAAGGACCCGAGGAATACTACACCAACAATGCAAATCAAGTTTTAGGATTATCGTATCATATATGAATGACACATGAAAGCATATTGTACATACCTTCAAGTTCAAGACTATGTCGTGGGTTAAAGAAAGGAGCCAAAAAGAGGCCATGCTAGCTGGATTACCGAATCACCCGTGACTACTTCAACCTCACTCTTTTCCACTTTTCTTTTTCTTCCTTCCTCAAATTGTTTTATTGGCTTTTGTTATATGCATGGACACCTTATTGACCCGTGACTCAGAAATCCTTATATACAATATGAAGCTTTGGGAGAAACCATAACCTTTGATTAGAGACATTAAGCATGCAATCCAATTATATTATGGTTTAACCACGACCTAACTCTAATCGGCAGTTCTATATAAGTAACCGTGGTGGTATCCGATTGGACCAGGTTCGGATGGGGCAGCCATCGATCCATCGCAAAATTAGCCACTCGTGCTACATATGCTCTAAAATTACATACAGTTCAGCTCCACTCATTGGGGGAGCTTTTGACAGCTACTAGTAATAGAAGACCATAAAAAATGGAGTCGAATGGATAGCTTAAAGTTTGGGCCTCCTTGGGCAGTTGTTTGAGAGAAATAAGATATTTGGGGCGTGGGTTAAAAAACTAATAGAGAACTTAGAATAACAGAGATTGTATTTTATTTATATGTAGTTATGCACAATATACAGGCTATATATACATATTAACAAACCATAAACAAAGAGCGAAAAGAGAACTTTATACTGATTATATGAGTGAAGAAGAGGATAGACAGCACATCCAAAACGCAAAGAAATGTATAATCAGGTGGTTGGTGATATAATATAGTGAAGAGTATTTGACCCTGAAGAGATTTACTAAGGTTGTAATTAATCGAATACAGAAGTTCAAAGGCAAACTCCCAAAACCGAAAAGGAGTATTAGAATGACCAGGGAGAGCAAGACAAATGTCAACAATGTGACGAATTTTGTAAGAAACAAAATCATTAGACAAATAAATTATTGGAAACAAAATCAGGAAAATAAAATAAATGTTAGTTTCTAAGGAAAAAGGTTAATAGAAATAATTTTTTATAAGATTTCAACCAAAAAAAAGAAAATATTTTTTCTCCAAAATGACAAATTTGGCTTTTTGTTAAGTCAATGATTAAAAAGTTGACTGTTAATTATTTAACGTCAGTTGGACAAAAAAGTCGAAACATACAAACATTTAATTTATGGTGGCACTTAAATTCTTTTTCAATTTAATGGGGAGAATGAACATAGAGCTTAAAGTTATGATATTTTTGGATAAATTGGTGTAATAAGGGGAATAACGTATCTTTATTTCAAGTTCAAAATAAGGGTACATGGAAAAGTGCCAGCTGAGAAAAGAACTAGTATCAGTTTGAAAAAGATTTATGCTACATATATAGTACAAAATAAAGAAAAGATTGACACAATTTTCGGGTCTGGCTCACAATTTTTTGGCAGTTGAGGATGGGATAAAAAACCAACATCCAATGTTAAAACCCAGCAGAGTAAAAAACCTATACATATCACCATCAATTTCAATACGGATATAGGAGAACTGCTCATAGGTCATAGGGGACAATTTCAATACGGTAAAAAAGCCCAACAGTGTAATCCAATGTTTGCATCTCCTGCTATATCATCATCAAGGAGCTCGGTATTTTCTTGTGTGCAGCTTTCTCAACATTCAGTAAATTCGTACCTCCATCTTGGAGCTTCGATGTTTTCATCTTGCCATTCTACTATATCATCATCAAGGAGCTCCCTACACCCGGTACTTCCTAGGTGGTAAACTAAAAACACGAAGAAAAAGTACTATCAGACAAAACATGCAAGACCTTGACAGATAACCTTCTTCAGAAACAAACTAACAAGCAAGTAGAACGCAAAGGAGCCCGGAGATAAAAGAACATACCACTCACGCGATCACCACTTTCAGGAGCTCTAAAGGAACCCATGCAAAGTGATCTTTTTGGCCAAGTCTGCAGCTTCATCTATGGTAATCATCCTGTGACTATATCTGCAGGAAAAACCAGAATGTGATGCATTAAAAAAAGCACAGACCAATATCTGAAAATTAAATGCAAACCATAGGTAGAGGAGACATACGGCATCTTCTCAGAGATAAATGCAGAAATTGCAGTGACAGAACCAGATCCAGTGGCAACTAAGAGTTCTTTAACTTCTTCCCCCTTGCCATTCATGCGATATAGGCCACGTTCCTACTACAAAAAGGACAACAGCCATCATTTCCTTACAAGAATCGACGGACCAGAGCAAAAATAAAGAGATCCCAAAGAATTACCGACTTACCGTTTCATCCTGGTCATCCCACACAGCTATGATCATTCCTATTTCCAATCCCTCCTTCCTGTAAGAAGACAGACTCTCGCGCAGCCACTGCAATGCCTCAGCAATTTTAGTTCTTCTTCCCTCATTCAGTTCATGTTGTTGGCACTGCAACACAAAAGAATGTGAACATGAATTCAGACCAATGTTTTATTAGATTGAACCTAAATCATTCAAAGAAAACCATAGCGTTCAGAGTGAAAGCGATTGATTACCTTCTTTTGCAGATTTTTTTCGAGCAAAAATTGGTATCCCCCCGGATATTGTGGCAAGCATGTGCTTGCTCAGTTCAATAACGTTCGGTGGAAACTTTGATGCTAAATTTAATAATGAGACTTAGAATGGTAATGTAGTACTTCAAACGCATACACATAACATATATAAAAAATATCAATATGGTTAAGATGTAAACCAACTTACACTTGTTTGAATGCTCAGCAAGCTATAATAGCCCCTATTTTGTACATAAAAGCAAAATTTGTGGTTCCTTTTTCAAACTTGGGGAATCCAGGAGAGGCTACAACAGAGAAATCGATAGCAAACAAAAACAAATCAAGATCAAACCTAACAAAAAGGAAGAACAGATACAAATATTTTAAGCTTGAGAGTAGATTATACAAAGAGGAAAAGAAAAGAAAAGAAAAAAAAACTAACATTCCCGGAAGGAATTTTAGTATTGGTATCAACAGGATGGCGGAACCGATTAATGCGTGGCGGAGCCGCCGGTTGAGGTCCATTCACCTTCAACACGAGAAAAACAAACAGTGACTCCTATAAAAAGTATTCTGACCCAAAAAACAAAAACAAAGTGGATTTAATTGACACGAATTCTGGGCCTTCTGGCTAAGATCCCATTATGTATGATAGATTCACAGGTAAAAGTTACATCTCGGAAAAAATTGAACCACTAAAACGGATAACAGAACGAGCCGTAATTAAGAGAATTTGAAGCGATAAAGAAATTCGACCAAGAATCGCACTAAAAACCTCGGCTGTTATCAGATCCGAGGAAGAATTCGACCAAGAAGAATCCCAATTCAGAGAAGAAAACAGAAATTGAAGGGACGGAGATTACCTTAAGAGTCGGATGATTCAGGTTCACCGCCGGGAATGATATCCATCGTTGTTATCTTATATCCAAGAAAGACGCACAAAATCAGAGTAAATATAAACAAAGTTGATCTAGTTGATATATGTGGAGGGATTCTTGCCCTGATTTTCTTGATTAATGTGGAATTAATAAATAATTCAGAAGGAAAAGGTTTATGTTTTTCGATAATTTTGGGAATCCCTTTTGGCGGGAAACGGCCAAGTTTCGGCTTGTGTTTCTAATATTTGGGCCACAAATGGTGTGGCCAAATTGTTAGAAGCCCACCATGTACTTGGCCCATTGAAAGCATCTTAATTTTGGGGGAATTAAGGGGGACTCACAATTTTTGCAATGTAAGAGTATAATTTTGGTGGTTTCCCATTCATCCAATTATTCATCCCACAAACGGATCAACCTGGCTTGATTTTCAGCATAGTTATAGATGAACATATATACTACCATTAAGTTCAAGGTCTACCAAATCACACAAAACCAAACAAAAAAAGAAAAGAGGGAGTTTGGCAAATGAACCACTAGATATGGTTTGGTTATTCATATGGTAGTATATGTATGGCATTTAACTATTTATTCACATTAGGGCTGGTAAAAAAAAAAAAATCCATGCATAAATCAGTTTTCTTCAATGGGTAGGTAGACAAAGAAAAACAAGCAATAATTTGATATGAACCTAAAATCCGGCAGCCAAGGGGCCTGCGGCACAACCACTACTGTAACACGGACTCCACCACCCAATATTTATTATAATTGTTAAAATTAATTAAATGTAATAGAAACACGAACAATAATAAAGTTTAAAGCAACCAAAACCAACCAATGAGTGGTGAGAAAAGCCAAACTTTTGCTAATCATAGATCTTGATTGAATAATGGATAACAGAAGGCAACAATTTATCCTCTAAGAAGAATTTTTTAAAATAATGTCGAGAACTCTATCAGAAATTAATTAACAAAAAAATTCAGTAGGAATTATTTTAATTTTTATTTGTAAGTTGGTAGTGAACCATTATTTTTTTCCTTAAAACATAGACTACTACTTGATAATCATCAATACCGAACTCCATCTACGTGCCATAACACCAAAAAGAAATAATGACTTTATTTTAAGTCAACATAACTAATGAGAAATGCTTGATAGCCTTTTCATACGGGTTGACATGCATGATCAGGAAAATGACCTAAGAATTAATTTTCACATTACTGCTGTGTGAAAACCATTGTTTATTGTTGCACGGAAACTACAACCCTTGAATATGTGCAAATAAGTTTATTCAGTATATGATAACGTTATCACGGCAAAAACTATATATAAAAAATACTCATTAATTTTATTTTTCGACGATAAAAAGGAGTACATAGTAAACTATTAAAGTAGGCAAAATGATTTAATCTAGACGAGTTAGTGATTTATAAAATATATATACCAGCAGCTACCTACCGAAATATGCTTCTTTTATTGTTTTGGTGATATATATATATATATATATATATATATATATATATATATACACGTAGATAAATCATTCGTTGTAGAAATGATCATTTTACTAAAAAAATTAAATAAATATTTTTTTGTTAATTTCTTCCTGGCTTTAAGAGGAGGTGAACTTGTTAGCTGGTTTGTTCATCTTGTGATATCTTGTTGGTACTTTATCGGATAATTTTTTATTTTTTTTTTCTGGATGATAAAATACAACTATCTACGCATAACAATTTCGTCTTGTGTATCAATGGAAATTCGAAGTTTAGGGTTTGCCCTTTGCAAACAGCACTATATCGTGCACTTAAGTATTAAGCCAAAATCTAATACAGTAGGAGGCTAAATTAAAGCAACTCACTTGTTCTTCATGACCAGCAGAGACTATATAGTAATAATTTCAACAACAATACCTATCAAACCTAGTCTTGTAATGCAATGAAATTGATTTGGAATGATTAGATATTATAAGTCTGAGAAAATAATGCAAATCACAAACCCGTTGGGGGAGAAATGTAGAGAGTTTGGATAGACCATCATAATCCTCAGGGGAGAAAAAAAAAAAAAAAAAGGAAACAAAAAGGGAATAAAACAGGACTAAAATAAATAGCAAAATGAATCCATTAACTTAAAGCCCTTTCCGTAATGGCAATAGTAAGTATCAACATACATTACTTAATTAACTAAGGTAGTGTTAGATAATGATTCGTGAACTTGTTTCACAGATATTTAATCAGCCACGTACCCAGTGATACCACATTCCCCTATTTTATTTTGCCTTTTTCCTGTAGCCTTAACAACATTTTTTTAGTCGTCTTCTTGTTTTTTTTTTCTTTTTTTTTCCCCCCTTTTAAGGGTAGTTTTAACTTTTAAGTCTACTTAATTCTGCCTAATTTAAGCGACAAAGTGGACGGATAGGACAGAAGCCAAAAAGGAAGAAGCCCACCAAATGTAATTGTAAAATGACGAAGCTAGCCACCATTTTTCTCTTCTATTTTGTTACTATTTTCCGTCCCGAATTATATTAATCCGTCCCAAAATTATTGTCTATTTATTTCTAATACAAAATGAATTAAAGTGAAAATTAAAGTTGAACAATAATCTTGAAACAGTAAGAGTATTTTAATGTGATATAGTACAATAATTTTAATACAGAGAGAAAGTGATTGTTTTTGTTCAATTTCTATTAAATGTAGGGTTAATAGGTTGGTAACTCAGCTACAATATTCCTCTAGATTCTACTAGTTCCTGTGCCCCATTTTATATATTCTTTTTCGCTTTCCCTCTCAACTTTACACTAACAAGCAAGTAACAACTCGCTAATCATAATAACTAATTAATTAATTTAAGCAATTTAAAATAATAAAAAAAAAGATGTCCATTTGTTGCTGCTTAAGTACGACGTACCTCGAACACGGTTTTGATTCAACAACCCTCTTTACATCGAGAAGAATATGAGATAGTTATATATATTTTGCGTGCCGTGTCTTTAGTTTGACTAACAAACATTATCATTTTTCATTGATTATTATTATTATTATTATTATTATTATTATTATTATTATTTGGGGTTAAATTCATTGATTATTTTACAAATCTTTGTCACTTCCACTTAGGGGCAAAGACACCTTTATTTTTCTTCACCATGTTCTTTAGAATATTATCTCGGGATAATGGGACTTATTCCGAATATTATCTCTTATAAAGGAATTTTTCTTGTTGGTCCAAAGTAATGTGCGTAATATTGCTTCCAATTTTGGTACACAAATATGAATATGGGATTCTAATTCATATTTTACACAACAAAGCATACATATGGTAACGAATACAACAAAGAATTTAACGTACAGGGTCTCTCACGCTTATTTGTTGTGACAACAAACCTTTTTTTTTTTCTCTATCCCCTTTCATATTATATCTTTTCGTCTTGAAATTATTATATAATATTTGTACTATTTTCATTACAGTAAATGCGACGAACATAAAATTTCTAAGGAAGGTGTAGAAGATCAATTCAAAATCTTGGACATACATCAAAAGGATATTGATCAATGATCATTTCCTGAGAATTGAAATGACTTACCTTTTTGTGTTTACATAACAAGCATGCAGCCAAAAACTCATCATAATCATGGCATCCCAATGATGTGGTAGGGGGAAAAAAAAATAAAGTTCAAAAAATGAGCAACCAACAAAAGCACAGAAACACAAAAACAAAAAGGGACAATTAAAGGTGTTGCCTTTTTGTGAAACTGGGGGTGTTAATTTGTCAAAATCAATAATCAAGAAGATGAAAGCTGGAGATGAGCGTTTGTTTTTTGGGGTCTTATAATTTAGGTTTCCGCCTATCTTGTTGGGTTGGTCGCTTTCCAGTTTTTTCACCTCTGCATTAAATATGTAACACGTGGGACGTAGACCTCTTTCTAATCATCTGGCCAGGGGCCATTAGACAAGATGAAACTTATTTTTTGCCATTATCATAAGTAATAATAATAATATGGTCACCCAAAGGCCTAAATGTAATTTTTGCTTAATGATCGAGCAGTGACATGACGATACTGTTTAGTAATTTTTCCGTCTAAAAGAAATTCTCGATCTCATGCAGTACAATAAGTATGATTCTTTGTTAAGACGGAAAATATGTTTTACATTAATTCAAGATGAGTTTTTGTTACAACAATTCTCATCCTTACCATCCCTCCCACCCCTTCAGTGTGAGGTTTCTTCTTCTTCTTTTCATTATTTTTTTTTTTTTTTAGCTTTGTTGTGCCTAATACTGTAATGGTAACAGCAATTTAATAAAGTCCAGCTCCACTGAGAATGAAGTCTATGATTGGAGGTTTCAATTCCACAATGTGGGCCATAGCTTTTAACAGCCTTAATGTTTACTAGTTAAATAGTAGTACTACTTGGTTCTCTCCTACTTTGCCACACGAATGCACTGTTTTGTCTAAATTGCCTTTTGCTGAAAAAATATCAGAGATTTTAATTCCATACCCCAAACTGAAAGGCATCATAATAAACATGAGCTGAAAAACAAAGGAGAGTCTTCTTCATTCTCAAGTCAGAAAGACCCTCCCTTTTTTTCTTTTGCTTTTCAGGTAAATGCTACTACCCCTGGCTGACTATTTTTCCAAGGATGTGATGATAGTTTTTTTCTGGGATTTTGTTCTTTTGGGCTAAAAAGATTATGCATGCTTGTTTATGATGTTATTTTGATTTTTGCCATATTTAGCTGCATCCTGCATGCATATTCAATGGTTGGAAACTGGAAGCTTAATTTGTGCCCTGCATGTTTGTACTTGTTGATGATTGGAAATTCTGCTGATAGATCATGGATAGCACCCCCATATGTTACATTTTGGTATAGGTTCTGGTGAAGTCCTCTATAAACAATTTCTTGAATCATAATTTTTTGTTGAATTTTTATCTGATGATTCTGATCACTGGCACTACATTCCAGTTTCTGATGCTGCTTTAAAAGCGAAAAACAGTGTTCCCGGAATTCCTATCTCTATTGGTTCCGAATGATAAGGGGGGAGAAAACTAGGATGTTTCCCTGTCTGATGTGTCCTTGGGGTTTTGAAAGGGGGTAACATGGATGAATTTATTAGTCTACTCCATTTTGAGTCTTTTGATATTGGTTCTTAGCAGAGGGATGAATCATTCAAAGGTTGACTTTGTCCTTGGTTGGTTTGCTACTGAAGTAATTTTTACAGTTTTTTTTTCCTTTACCTATCCTTGGAGTCTTTGATATAGACTGATTACTAGTCATTTAATACTAAAAACATTAATCTTGCTTGACAGACTATCAATCTTAACTGATTTGTAGTCCTTTTGCTTGACCTTTTTTGCCCCATATCAGAGAGCTCTTGAAAGGACTACTTTTTGTAAATATTGTTTAAGTAGATCATTGAGAAGTTTTTCAACTCTCGAGTGGAATGGATCTTTAGATTCTTGACGTAATTTTTGACAAAGAGCAATGACTTCTTTAGATGTTATCAGAAAGTACACCTTTCAATTGTCTGATTTTGTAGTTCAAGGAGGGGGGGATAGCTTGGTATGATATGATCTGGAAGCAAGGCTCCTTCTCTATTAGGCTTTTCCAGCAAGTTCTTTGATGAACCCACAAGGATATTTTAAAACCAGTTCAGATTGTTGATTTCTGCGCCTTTTCCTTCATTGCACAGGTCTCAGCAAATCTGTGGAGTCTAATCCAATCATCTGACAGAGATACATCCTACTTGAAGGTCCAAATCTGTTACCTATTGCAGATGCACGTTTTATGTTAGATTCATAAATACTTGAATGAATTTACAAATGTAATTTTTTATTGATGTTAGAACTTAATGGTTTGGTTGGATTGATGAAGCGACTTTAGGTGACAGTTCTGTTCTTATATCCAGGAACAAGTATTCTTGTTGCTTCTTAGACAACTATGAGATTTGTGGCCATAATCCAGTTGTGCAATTTGAATATGCTCTGAACCAGTAATTCAAATATTGCTTGCCATGGGTGGATGTATCTCAATTCCTGACAAAAAATTCAAACCAAAAGCAAAATACTTCCGCAGGCCTAGAAAGACCCGTAGAAAGATCACCTTATCCGTTTCTGTTGCACCTATTGAAGAGTTCAGTGATGCACACAATGGAACCCACCCATCTGTGCCTGAATTCACTTTGATGAACACCACAACACAAGCCCGAACCAGATGCACAAGACCTGAGTTACCATTTTTGACTTTAGAATGCAACCAGTCATCATGGGAAAATGATCTAGCCACTGTGAATGGTAAATTTTCTTATCTTTTGCTTTCAAAAGAAGGATGGTGAATGTTTATTTAATGATCATCTACCAAAGTTATACAATGAATTTCGAGTTCTTGAATTAGAAGGAATATGCAAAGAGGAAGCATGGTTTGACTCTCCAAGTGCCTTAGAGTCAGATTCCGATGAAGATTTTGTCAGTGTCCATGAAGGTAATTAAATTCATATTCCCCTGTGTAATGTTCTCTCTCATTGCATCTTATGGCTGATCTCTCCATGTGCTGTTCTGCTTTTTAGATTTTTCCCCTTCCACAATAGAAGACATAAGTACCCTTTCAATGGCAAAGAATGAAAGCAATTCATGCTTTGTCGAGTGTGGAACTTTACAAAATGTCTATGGTGGCAAAAATGAAAAGACAAAAGTTGATAATGAGGAAGTGAGTATCTATAATTCGAGCAGAACTGCTACTAGCATTCTAATCTCAGAACGAGCTGATGAAGTTTCTCTCGCAAAGAAGAAAACTGTGGATGAGCTTAGTGAAAGTGTCAAGGCTCTGAAACCGGATGCATTTCAACATTGTGGAAAAACTGAAGAAAAGGATTTTAAGTCTTTGATACCTCAGTTGGTTAACCATGGAACGCTAAATTCAATCTCGACATCAAAATTAGGAAAACCAACGGCTATAAAGGTTACCATTACAAGCACACTCCATGATGGAGATGAGACAACTGAATTCCGTAAGTAACTGTTGTGGCCTGATCATGTTCCATTATCTTTTAAATAATCACAACACTGATGAATTTAGGGCTTAACTGTCTGTAATACATTCCCAAAAGTGGAAGTACCTACTTTCCGCAACATGCTTTCTCTTTACTAAATTTGTGACCGGCACTTGACAGGTCCATCTAAGAGATTTATGTATTGTCACAAAGTTGGACTTACGCTACCTCGCATGACAGATAAGAACACAGCCCAAGGATGCTGGTGTCCTCTTTCACCTTCTGTTTTTAAGCTTCGTGGAGAAAATTATTTCAGGCATGTAATTTTAATCTTGTACTTATGTTCTCATTGATCCTCTCAGTGATTACTATGTCTGGTCTGCTCTGATTGTTTACTGGAAGTTATTATATATTTGTGCAGGGACAAAAAGAAGATGTCTGCTCCAAGTTATAGCCCTTACATTCCAATTGGTGCTGATCTATTCGCCTGTTCTCGGAAAATACATCATATTGCACAGTACCTTGAACTTCCAGTTTTGAAAGCACATGACAAAGTGCCATCGTTGCTGATTGTTAATGTTCAGGTACTTCTTTTTCTTCCCTGGTACTTGCATGGAGTTTTGGCGCTGATTTTATACCTTAAGTTATTTTCTGTCCCAATGTAACCCTTTCTGGGTGTTGTTTCAGCTACCTAGTTATCCTGCATCAATGTTCCTTGGAGAGACTGATGGGGCAGGAATGAGCCTGGTACTGTATTTCAGAGTTTCTGACAATTTTGACAAAGAGATTTCTCCGGAGTTTCAGGAATCCATAAAGGTAGATAAAGATTTGACTCTGCATCTCATGTTCTCTATCTGACAAGCTACATCTCGTTATTGCTTGCACTTGTCAATTTACCGTCTTACATTGTTACAAAATTGAAGAAAAAGGAACAATGGCTATGCCCCTTATCATTTATTGAAGAAGCAATGCCATCCCCATCCTTCTGTGTAATGGACAGAAGATAACAGATTACAATCTAACCTAACGTTCTTGGCTTGGTCAAGGCGTTAGGAATATCTTCACCCTCCATTCTTTTCGAGACCAGCACTAAATTCAAATTTATTTCCCTGCAGAGATTAGTTATGGATGATATGGAAACGGTAAAAGGATTCGCAAAAGAGTCGACGGTTCCATACAGAGAAAGACTGAAAATTCTAGTTGGTTTGGTTAATCCTGAAGACCTGAGGTTGAATTCTGCTGAGAAGAAGCTTTTACATGCCTACAATGAAAAGCCGGTCCTTTCTCGCCCTCAACATGCTTTCTACAAGGTAGTAATACATTTTCCAATGCAGAATGCTCCTACTGTTCCTTGATTCTGCTTCCATGATTTAGCCTTTATACCATTGCTCTCGGCCTGATCTGTTTAAAATCATAGGGAGCAAACTATTTTGAGATTGACCTGGATGTCCATAGATTCAGCTATATATCAAGGAAAGGACTTGATGCATTTCGGGAGAGGTTGAAATACGGGATTCTTGATCTGGGGTTAACAATTCAGGTTTGCGTTTTCAGTATATATATATAAGTGTATATATATATATATATATTATATATATATATATATATTTCCATTTTCATCATGAATGAATGCGACAATAGCAAACACTTAGCATAAGATCAAATTTGGTTGGCCATAGTGTTTTCTTAAGCATCGCTCTTATTTTGATGCAGGCGCAAAAACCTGAAGAGCTACCAGAGAAAGTGTTATGTGGTGTTAGATTGAATAAAATTGATTTTGAGAATCATGGACAAATCCCTGAAATTGTAATTCTTGGTAACGATTGAGTTGGAACGGAGCTCTCGGTTTAGTTCAACTGTTGAAAGTTCATATAGCAATATTCGTTTCCCAGGCAATACAAGAGAATTTTTATTCAACTAATTGCATGACTTCCTGAGAAAAAAGATCAAATCCATAGGGAGCTTGGAAATTTGTTACTTCTGTAATTTTCATCCATTTATTTCATTATTTCTTCTTTATTTTTAATTTGATTTTGAGAGCAATAAAATTTCTTGAATTTGAACTCGAAACATATATAAAAGGGCACAATTTTCACGTTGTAATTGTATTAACTGGCAGAACGAATTCATGTCTCCAGTAAAACATAATTTCTTTCAAGCTGTATTTATATCGTGTTTTACAAACTTTCGCTTCTACAGAACTGCAAGATTAAAAGAATAAAACATGAAATAGGTACAACATTTCAGAGTAAACAGCGACATGTTAGATTCCCACTGATAGACTTCTTCCTCTCTTACTACAGGTGCAAAAAATCTCATAATCTACTTTTGAACCTTGTTAACTTCCTTTTGGTTGCTCACTTCTGCATCGGCTGGCTTTGAAACTGGTTGAATTCTCACATAGGGGTTTCTGGTCAACGTCTCCCCTTTCAACGCCGCAACATACCGGTCATTGGTATCCTCCTTCCTCTGCAACTCACCAAGGAATTCCCCTAGCCTCTCTCTATTTACCCTTCCCATCATCTAACAAGACCAGAGCAAGCAAAGATTTCAGAAACTTAAGACTTGTAATAAATAACATACAATCAGCGATGAGGCAGAGGGATTCAACCAGATAGATGACATAATAACAGGTTACTCCGATGTAACTAGAACATACAGAATTCAAACTACACAATGCTATCAAATGACTGATAAATTGCCGCTTCCTTGAATTTTCAGGTTCTCACTTTAAATCGTGTCTAAGCTTTTGCATGAACCTTATTGAAAGGACATAAAAAGGAACCACTATGTTACTAAGGCGGTTGTAGTTTTAGTGATAAGCTCATGGGTTATGTAGGAGGTAAAAAAAAAGGACAGGCAAACAAAAGGGAGGCAAAATGTATAATTTCTAACTCTGGCTCAAACTTAGTAAAAATAACACTCAGAGATATGACAGAAACCCTAAGATTCTGCAGATAACTTGAATAACACTTAGTCATGAAAAATCTTCCATTTCTTTCAACATTGAGCAAGAAGAGCGGAGGAATTCTACGATGACAGATAAAATAAGACTTAGTTAAACATGCTTTCACTGAACAAGGCAGACACAGAATCGACTGCAGTTGAGGTAGGAAAACAGAGATCTATTACATAATCCCATGCAAGCATAACCACAAAATAACACATCCGTATTGTGATTGAACCCATCGGGATGAGAGAGTTCTACAAAAGTCGGAAGCCACTCATATGGAGACCCTACCATCTAGAATCCTTTTAGTTGGTCTATATCAAAATGTAGTTACCGGTTCATAACTAATAAGAGAAGTTTCATGATATAGTGGAGCTAGCTATTATAGGAATAAAACAGATGAAGAAACAATAAGCAACATATCTGATGAGTTTGCGAGGAAGATAAGTGCAAATGCAACATCTAACCAAGAAAATCTACAATAGCACTAGACCAGAAAAAAGAAAGCGCCATCGCCAAAGAGGATTAGTAAATAACTCAGCGAAAAAGACATGACAATTAAGGACAATCCAGGACAGAACCAACTAGCACTAGCACAAAACTTAATCATCAAAATTTGTGATTTAAATGGAATAGGGATATCCCCTTCCTATCCTGATCCTGCTACAAAGAAAGTTAATTCACAAGGTAAAATAACTTGTGACCTAGTCCGTAACCGAGGCAAAACCACAAAGGAAAAAAAGAAAAGATAGCATCATCTCTCCTAATCCAAGCTACCGACTACAACAACAAACCAAACAAATACCCTAAAGGGCCTAGCTATCATTACGCAGTAGAGCGATTAACAATTTTTTAACATACGAAATGAATGATAAAAGAAATGAAGGAGGCAGGAGAAGCAAATACTCACAAGTGAGTCGGGGCGAGCGTTCTGACGGAGCTTGGCTTCAAGCTCAGGAGTCCCGGAGCTGGTGAGTTGCATGACGAAGTAGCCGATGACACCGGGAACGACACCGCAGACGGTGGCGAAAGTGAAGAAGAAGGGCTTCGAATCCCGAGTCTGGGTCACAATCCACCTCCAAGCCTGCGACATTTTTCCTATTGAGGATTCGATCACTATATCCACGTTCCTCTTCTTTCTCTCCACTCACCTTTTAAACAAACAAACAAAAAAAAAAAAAAAAGCGCCGGTTAAGTCCACCGTCAAATGTATCGGTGTATTTTTATCAGTCGGGGCGGCAGCAGATGTCAAAGACCCGGAACGTATTGGCAATGCTTCGTTGGATGACATATTTTGATTGGACCGGATCGCGATAAAGATCATATATTTCGGCCTGCAATGAGAATTAGGCCCACTTACCAAAGAAAGACCAAATTCGGAACCCAGCATAGTTGTGAATCTGAGATGCTTGCAAGTGAGAGATTCTCTTCGTCGAACGTTGAAAACAGGTAAATTCACCTACGTTTTTTTATTTTGGAAAAATCAGTTAAATTTACCTATGTAATGTTGTGGTCAGTCAACAATAGAAATTGTCATTCTTGTCAAAAAAATAAATAAATAAATAAATAAAAAATAAAAATGCATCAAAATAAAATATTTCTTGCGTCGCACCTTCATAGTCTCAAGAGTACAAGGGAAATAATAAGAAAACAAATGTAGCTATCAGCAAAGACAGCAGGGTTTGGCAACATTCAGCAACGAAAAGCTCAAAGATTGTGTTTTCTGATTTCAAACTCAAAAGCAATTTACAAAAGAATGCGTTACCAACACTACACGTCAAAGGGAATAAAAATATGTCAATTTACAAAACCATTTCTATTTTATCCATTCACTAGAAATTTTTTTTTTTTTTTTTGTATAAACTAAATCCCCCCGTGTCATTTTTGTGTTTTGGAATTTACGTATACCGTATACCACCTTGAAACCAATTCGGACATGAAAAAACAAGCGCAAACAGCAAACCACTCGCATCCACAGCTAGTTTCTCAGTTCGCCATCCATCCGTGTGATGAATTCATCCGTTGAACCACCTGTGTTTTGATACTGTACCTGATAGTGACTCAATCCCACCTATGTAATTTGCTCTTCCTTAAACCGTAAACTTGCTATTCCTTGTTGTGGTCTAGGAGCTGTGGGCTGATTATTGAGTATGTTGTTTTGTGGCCTTAATTGTGAAACCATATTGGCTGTGTTGTGACTGCTGTTCTTGGCTGCAGGAACATCGTGATTATGTTTACCCTCGTATGTTGTTATGACGGCTTTTGGATCACTAGCAGCCCGTTCCACATGCTTCCGGACATTACATCCTTGGCTTGTGCATTTGTAGTAGCTCCTGCAAGTAGGCGCAGCAAAAGGACAGTTCAGATGCCATATAAATAACTTTCAACAATTTTCAAAGTGGATGAAACCAGAAAGCATTATTAGTTTGGACTTGCTGCAGGTGGCTCTTTTGGCCTATGGCTCAACTCATCACTATTAATCATAGCAGTTTGAATTGGGCAATATCAGATAACATTATACAGCATGATAGTAATTTCAAGCGGTAAAGGATAAGCCACAAAGCACCGACCTTGGATATGGATTTCCTTTAACCACTTTCTGGCCATATTTCCGCCACCTATAGCCATCATCTAATAAATCAACTTCGCTGGTTGTCTGAACAATAATCCTAGGTTCTGTTACTGTCCTGTGGGATGAGGTAAGCTCAGATGACCTAACTTCGATATTCCTGCATGCATGTAGAAAACTCATTACTAATGTGAAAAGACTATGCATGCAATTAAGTAAGAAACTGAGATTCTTGATGTAGTGAGATACCTTCTCTTTGATTCAGGTTCATCATCATCCCTTTCGTCTGCTCCAGTTTCAGCATCACCTGCTTCCTCGCTTTCACTAGATCCACAAGTCTGTTCCGGAGTAGCTTGGCTGAATTCCTGATCTCTCATTGATAATAAATTAGAAGGTAAACCCTCCCTGTACTTATTCATACTTTCAGCGATAGATGACCCTGATTCATAGTTCCCCTGAACATTTAAGGTTCCATCTGGATTTTCAGTATCTTTCCCTCGCTTGATGGGTTGAGGTGGCTGATGGTTATGTTGACCCTTATAAATGATCTCAGTCACTTGGCCGTCGTAAGACCTTTCAACCTTTTTCTTGACTGGGCAACCGGGATGTGTACATTTGTAATAACTTCGTGGATATTCGCTTCCCTTCACTTGCTTCTGCCCGTATTTTCTCCAGTTGTAGCCGTCATCTGCGGGCTTATCAACTGTGATAGGAAGTTGAGATCTCTGATCCAGATAGGGAACATCAGATGACTCTTTCTCCATATTAGGATCTGACCTGGCGGGAGGCATCTGCTGGTGTGCAGTTGCACTGGAACTAAGCGACTGAATCTGTGATGAAGACGGAGCAGAAGATGCCAAAAAAGATTGATAATCAGCAGGCATGTGCAACTGGGTTTGACCTTGGTTAGCCTGAGCCGTAAATTGAGCAAGAGCTTGCTGGTGGGACAATCCAAAAGGGCCCTGTTCGATCAAAAGACTACAAATTAATAGTTCAGACAGGTCGCGGAAAACAAAGAAAAGCTCAAGTTTAGTAAAATTAAGCAGAGCAATCCACAAACCCCTAAAACCTTCACCCACACGGACGAACATAAAGCAAAAGAAAACAGAAGATCCCAAGAACTGAGCTCGAGATAATAAATATGACGACTACCAAGATCATTGTCCTCCAACCCCCAAGAACACCTCTCCAAGTATGACACACAATTCACAAACATAATGCTGGAAACATTAACATACCAGAAAAGGGAAAATAATTATGGTGCACATGGGACTTCCTAAACGGGTGGTGAGACAATGCCTCGAGGAACCTCATTAATTCCACATGGGGAAAAACTAAAACCTACAGGTATGCTGTAGAAACATTCAGATAGAAGGATCTCCAAGTCAATACGAAGCTTAGTTGACCATCATTACCAACAATCAAAGCACCAAAATCTATAAATCCATGTATCTAAAAACAGAAACTACTAAAAGGAGGAGATTCAAATGGCCTAATCTTGATCTTCATTGATATGATAAAAGAAGGCAACACACCAGCACAGTCTAAAGCTAATGCTGTCTTTAACCAAAGAAAGTAACTTTATAATTCCCCATCATTTTATGAACTAAACAATTGACTTCACTTCATGACTAAGCTATGATTATCAGCAAAATACAGGCGAAACAATGGTCAACACATCGACCGAGACGCTTGGATTGGCAGAAAAGGGGGAATTCAGGACACAATCACACTCAAACTTTCAATTTCAGAATTGAACAGTTCAAAAATGTTGTGATTAGCAACATTCATGAAGAATTGGAACAAGCAAAATCGCTTAACAACATCATTTCGCTTAAGTACCTGTGCAGTCGAGAAGAACCCCGGCGAATCAAGCAAGGTTGCAGGACTCAAACCGGGGGGTATAGTAAACATCGCCGGCTGCGAAACCATCAAACCACCAGGCCGGTTCTGCTTAAACATAAAATCCGCATCAGGGCCGCCGCCGCCGCCAACCTCTTTTCCCCCGGGATTCGAACTCTCATTCTGCTGAAACCTCTGCCTGACAGACGGAACCGGCACCGGAGAAGCGCCGGCGAGTAGCTGAGAGAAGGGGCGGCAGTCAGGGTCCGAATCGTTGAAAAAGTTCGACACCAAAGTCATCGGGCCGGGGCTTGCACCGCTCAACCCACCCGTAAACAAACTCTCCATCGTACTCCTCGGCGGCAAACTTATGGTCGGCCTCGCCGGAGCTCGGGATGATGATCCATCGTTACCCGCCATTCGTTTTTTTTTTTCTGATGGACTTTGACTTGCTGAAATTTCACCCTTTTACTTAAACACCAATAATTTACAGTCTAGAAATCCGATGCTTCTTCTTCATGGATTTTCGGGATTTTGTGTTTTTCTGTTCTTTCTTCTTCTTTGTACAGAAAGTCGTCTCGGCGTCTTTGGCAAATACGGCACGGAGAAAGGAGGAGACGTCGTCGTCTTTTCCAGTCTTTCTACGCTTTCTGTTTTTAGTTATTAAAAAGTTTTGTTATTAGAGAAAGTGGAAATGATGATTGTAATGTAGCCCTATATTTTAGTAAAAACTATAAACCCCAAAAAAAGTCCACTCCACCACATCATTCACATCCAACAAAATTTACTTTTTTTTGTTTTTTTTAATTGTTTATGTGGAACTTTCTTCTTTTCCAATCAAAAGATTTGCAATTTTACTAACGAAATGGTTATAATAACAGATGGTAAAAATTTTATGATCCTTGATCATAAATCGGGAGTTATCATCTCAGCTGATATTGTTTATCGTTGTTGTTTATGTATACTTTTATATGTTTATTATTCAGAGTATTTTAGAATACCAAACAAGTAAATCACGCGATAAAGTTATCTTTATTTTCTTCATTAGTGCTTTTACACTTTCAATGTAATAAAGTCTGTAAAATAAATTTTTGAGAGTAAATTTGGATGCAAATGATGTATTAATAAAAATATAAAAGGAAAATGAAAAATGAAATTTGAAAACAGGGCCGAACTTTTTCGGCTACACTCACTAGATTACAATGGGAAGGGAACAAAAAGGTAGAATCTTGATGGTTGTTTGGTTGCTAGCCTTCTTTCTCTAAATTTCACACGGCGGTATTATTATTTCTCTCGTCCTAAAATGATAATGAATTATTATAATAAAAAAATATTTGTTAAATTTCAAACATAATAGAGCAAATAACTAGAGAATTATGATATCTAGCCATTTGTCTTTGTAATTTGGAAGAGGAAAGATCATTAATGCTTCTTCTTTTTTTCCTTGGGGGAAAAACCGTAAGTGTTGGGACAGAATCTAAACATGGCTTCAGATGATTAGATCAGACGTTTTTTGCTAAACTGAATAATAAAAGGGGTTAATTATATTTAAGTGGTTGGAAGGGTTGTGGTCGTGGAAGACAATGAAAGGGTGTTGACATTTGGAAGGGAAGCAAGCTGGGAATCTAGAAGCCCTATACAGACTGCAATCTCTCTGCCTGAAATTATCAAATAAGAAAACCCCCAAGTGGGCACGACTAATTTGATGAAAATACTAAAGAAAGAAATTATTATGCACAATGAGAGTGAAGGGAGGTTTTAAATAAGTAAGTTAGGTTAATACTTAATAGCAATAGTGGAATTGGATAAAGTAACACCGTTAAAATTAAAATATAAGTATTTTTTTTCTAAGTTTATCCCAAAAAAAAATAATATTTCTAATTATGGTTTGGTGAACAATCATATCTCATCATGGCTTTTGCTTTTTTGTTTCTAATGGAGAATATGGTATGGTTTGTTAGCAACAAAATCATTATTAATTTGTGTCACATGGAACTCTATTGCATTTTAGTTTTAGTGGCTAAAAATAACATTTAACTTGATGTATGATGTTTTCTTTCTGTCCCAAAAAGATTACAGAACGAGTATTTTGTTTAGTTCATCCAACAATATTAATGAATAACTAACAATCTTATATTTGGAGAGAAAATCATTTATTTTAAAAAGTATTGACTAAGTTATTCGATAAATCAAATAATTGACTAATTATAAATGACTTAAAAACTTATGAATATCGGACCCTCTAAACTAATAAAAGCTCCCTCTCGACATATACACCGAATAGAAGTAGCAATTATTGTGTAACGCCGTTCCATTTTATGCATAACAAACAATTTGAAGATTAACAACGACTGAAAAATACTTGTTGAAAAATATGGAGAATGCACATTAATAAGATAAGATCCCACATCATCAAGAATCAATAAATCTCAAGTCTCCATCACTAAACTATAGCCTAGTGGCAATTCCAGCCCCGTACATTCCCCCTTCCCCAATTATTCCCCAATTATTCCCCTCATTTTCCTTCCTAGACACAAGTAAAATTGCACTATTTCATCTAAAACCATTGATGGATCATGGATATTTATCTAAAAGAAAATTCTTCGATTCAATCAATAAGTACCGAGAGAATATTGTTGGCAATTAATTAAAGTGTTGATCGAACTTGGACTTATATGACTACTCTTAATGTAATAATTTAGGACAACGAAATATTAATTTTTATTTTTCTTGAACAATATACTCGTACTAAAACTGAATAATAATTTTACGATAGGGGATTAACTAATGTTATAATGGAATACTATCAAAATGGAAAGCCTCAATGTCTGACTTTGGTTACTTTCATGCAACCTTCTTACATCACAAGGAAGGAATCCATATGGTTCCATTGATACATGCCGTTGACTTAACAAGAGATGTGCCCACAAAGTCAACTCATTCCAGCAATGGCTCTGAACGTGCTTTTTCTGTTTTCTTGTAATCTCTCTGATTACATTACATTACATACATTCTTGAGAAATCCATGAAGTCCACGATTAATTTAGGCCGTTGACGATGTTATAAATATAGCTCATTTGTCAGACTTAACATCATTTTTTTTTAATCAAAGAATAGTACACTTTATCAACATATATTATAATTGCTTAATGTAAATTTGAGTTTGGTAATCCTTTTTAAGTATTAATAACTAGGACTTTTTTTCACTTTTTTAAACCAAAAAAATGAAAAATTATATGTGTTACATTTGGTATTCCTTTAATGTTATGACTTTTGATCTTCTTCCATTGATTTTCTATTTTATTTTTATTTTAAAGATTGTATATGAACAAATTAATTCATTAGTAGTCTTTTTTAATTATTAACTAAGAGCTTCACCCCCCCCTCCCCTTTTTTATAAACAATAAAATGAAGAGACTTTATGTGTTACATTTGGTCATTTAATGTTATGATCTCTTATCTCTTTCTATTAATTTATTATTTTATTTTTATTTTAAAGATTATGAACAAATTTGAGTTTGATAGTTCTTTTTAAGTATTAATAACTAGGACTTTTTTTTCACTTTTTAAACCAAGAAAATGAAAAAATTGTATGTATTATATTTGATTTTCCTTTACTGCAATGACCTTTGATCTTCTTCCATTGATTTTCTCTCTTATTTTGTTTTAAATACTATTTATGAAAAAATTAATTTATTAGTAGTCTTTTTTTAACTATTAACTAGGAGTTTTTTTTGCCTTCTTTTTTTTAACCAAGAAAATGAAGAGACTTTATGTGTTTCATTTGGTCCTTTGATGTTATGACCTTTTATCTCCTTCCATTAATTTATTCTTTTATTTTTATTTTAAAGATTGTGAACAAATGAATGTTCTTTTAGTCTTTTAAGTATTAACTAGGAGTTTTTTTTCCTTCATTTTAACCCAAGAATATGAAAAGATTTTGTATGTTACATTTGCTATTCTTTTAATGTCTTGATCTTTGATTTTCTTCCATTAATTTTCTCTTTGTTTTTTATTTTAAAAAAATTTAGAACAAATTAATGTTCGCCATTAGTTGTAATTTGATTGGCCATGATTTCAACTTGAGCATTTTTCTAGCTTATGCCTTTTATTCTTCTCGTCTTTGAATTTTAAAATTTCATTAATGAGAATTTAAATAAATTATTCTATAACTCAAATAGAATACTAAGAGTTTCGTATCTTTTTGAATTCGTATATATATTCTCAAAGAAAAGAGTTTTGACACATTTATCTTTTCCTTTCTTACAAGTTTTCACCCTGTGCTCTCAATGGTCTTTTCATCCCAAATTCATTGAAGGTAATCATTATTATTTTTACTCTTTTCTTATGAAACTTTAAGTTTAGATTTTTCTTTCTTCTATTCTTTTTTCTTTGTTCGGTGATAGGTTGTTATGTAAAAATGATTATATTCTATTGTTCATTTTGTATATGCGTGTTATTTTTTCCTAGAGTTAGAATACTATTGTATACTTACACTAAATTTTGAAAAATATTCACTTACGCTCGAAGAGCGTTTATTTCATCTAGTTATTATTTCATACTATATTATAATTGCAGAATAATTTTTGGAGTTTGGTAGTCCTTCACATTTATTTGTTTGGTTAATTATTTTTCTATGCAATTAATTAGTTTTGTAGTCCTTTATTTAATTTGGTCTAAAACATTTTTCAATAAATATTTTCTCCTATTAATTATTTATTATTATCTCACTTATTACCATTATATTCAACTTTATGATTAATAAATTATTCCCTTATATCTAATTTTATAATAATAAATTGTCCTTTATTATCAAACAATATAATGACGTTTTTTTTTTATCTCTATTCCATTAATTCTTGTTTTTAAGATTACAAAAAAGTTATTTCTCATTCTTAAGTGAATTTGATCAGTCTAAAAACGGTTTTGGTGATACTAACCTCTTTGAATTTTGTAATGTCTTTTCTTCTTCTCTTGTTTTATTTGATTTTAATAGGTTATTCAATGATAGTTTGAATTGTTCTATAACTTAAAAGAACATTAAAAGTCACGTAACCTACATTTATCTATGTATAATTTTAAAGGATTTAAGATTTAGCGACTTCTCTCTCTATCTCTCTCTCTCTCCCTCCCTCCCTCCCCTCCTCTCTCTTAAGTCTTTACCTCTCACTCTCAAGTTTATTGGAGATGATTACTTTTCATTGCTTTTCTCCATCTTTTTTCTTCTTGATTTTTTTTTCCTTCTCAAACTTAGGTTTTGTTTTTGATATTTTTCTTCTTTTTTAGTTGTTTTATTTTGGTGATATAGAAACTTGATTTTATTTTATTTCTCACTGGTCTTGTCATTTCTTTCCCAATCAGAAAAATATGTCTCACTTCTGCTGAAATAAGAAGTGACACATTTTAGTGATATCAATTTACTCTGAGTAAAAGTATATATTTTCTATATTGGTAAATTTGTTAACATATTTTGTAAATAGTGTATTAGATAGCAATGTGACTTATTATTTTTACTTATTAAAAATTTATTTTTTTCTTTTATATAATTTACATTACATGACCATACATAGTATACGAGCAAAGTGCTCCTAATCCATCTAGTAAAATAGTAAACTATCAAATCGTACAAATCAAGTTATCATTTTTATTCTTGAATTGATGGTAACGCGAGTTTTTTTTTTTTTTAGTTTTATC